ACAATAAGAAAGAGGAACGGAGCAATCGGGTCACCTTGTCTTAACCCCTTCTCCATTTTAAATTCTTCTGTTGGGCTTCCATTAACAAGCACTGATATTGAAGCTGTTTGCAAGCATTCCTTAATCCACAATCTCCATTTCTCCCCAAATCCGAGCCTTCTCATCATTTCATCCAGGAAATCCCAATTCACACTGTCGTATGCCTTTTCGAAGTCTGCTTTGAATATGAAGCTGCTGATTTTTTTCCTCCTGATTTCCTCTACCACTTCATTGAGAATCAGAATACCATCTGTGATCTGTCTTCCTCCCAAAAATGCTGATTGTGTCCCACTTATCAGCTTAGGTAGTACTTTCTTAATCCTATTTGCCAGCACTTTCGAAATGATTTTATAAAGACTACCAATTAGGCTTATGGGTCTGTAGTCTTTTAAATCAATAGGATTATCTTTTTTTGGGATAAGAACAATAAATGAAGAGTTTATCCCCCTTACTAGTTTGCCGTTCCTGAAGAATTCTTGGACAAACTCGACAATGTCTTTCTCGATCACATTCCAAATGGTTTTGATAATATGGAAGCTGAATCCATCAGGACCAGGAGATTTGTCTCCTCCGCAATCCCACACTGCTTGTTTCACTTCTTCTGCTGGCACTTCTCTTTCTAGCCAAACACTGTCTTCTTCATTTAGCTGCTTGAACTGTAATCCACCCAGTTTCGGTCTATCCCACTGCTCTTCTTGAAAGATTTTGTTGAAGTATTCACGCACTTCCTGCTTCACCACACTCGGTTCCTCTATCCAGGCTCCATCTTTGTATATGCCCCGAATCATTTTTCTCCTCCTGTTGCTGTTCATAATTCTATGGAATAGCTTGGAATTAGCATCTCCTTGCTTTACCCAGTCGAGCTTTGTCTTCTGTTTCCATGCCACTTCTCTTCTTTTCCATGCTTCCCATAATTCACTAAAGCCTTCCTTTCGTAGCATGATATCCTCCTCTGTTAATTCGCCGTCCTCATTCTTATTGTCAACATCATTGATTTTTGCTGCTGCCTCTGCGATTTGCTTCTCAAAACTTCCGAAGGCTTCACTGTTCCATTTCTTCAGTTTGTTCCTCAATCTTTTGAGCTTCTCTTTGCACACATACCCCTTCCATCCCTCTACCCCTGCAGAATTCCAGTTTTCCTCAACCATTTTGACAAATTCTGGATGTTGGTCCCAGCAATTTAAGGTCCTGAAAGGTTTTGGGCCCCAATTGCTATTGACCTTCTTTAACATCAATGGGCAATGATCAGATATCGTTCTATTCAGTCCAATTTGGCAACAATCACCCCAGAAATTAATCATACCATCAGATAAAAGAAATCTGTCCAGCCTACTCTTTGCTGACCCATCACTCCTGTACCAAGTAAATTTCCTTCTTGTTAGTGGTAAATCAACCAATCCTGCTATTTCAATGAATTCGTTGAGGTCCTCCCCGTAATTAGGATGCTCGGATCTTCCTCTTCTCTCATCCGCTGATCTCACGCTGTTAAAATCTCCGGCAATGCACCAGCAATTTTCTCCTTCCTCAATCAGCTTCAATAACTCTGTCCATGTTTCCAGCCTTTCATTCCTGTTACATGACGCATAGACATTTACAATGCAGCACTTCTTCTTCTTCTCTCCCCAAAATCCATATATAGCTAATGCGCCTGGAATTTCCATAACTGATTCTTTTGCAAAAACCTCATTGTCCCATACGCATAGAAGGCCACCTGATCTACCCACTGATGCCTTATATACCCAGTCAAAATTATCTCTTCCCCAAATAGACATGCAAAATTCATTGTCAATTCTTTCCATTTTTGTTTCCTGGAAGCAAGCTAAATCTATTTCCTCCTTTCTAATCAAACTCCTCACCTCTTTTCTTTTGACCGAACTCCCTAACCCCCTCACATTATAAGAGATCAACTTCATTGCTAAAGTTTCTGGAAATTGAGAACAGGCCTACCGTTATTGTTGGCGGGCATGCCCCCGTCTGTCCCGTTCTTCCATCTGGCTAAACCTTTCCACAATCTGGTCTTCTCTGTTGCAGATCTCGATCCCTAAATTGCCCCCGAACTCCAAAGTCTTCCTCGCCTCCTGTAGTAGCATGCCTTCCTTGATCCTTTTGTTGTTACACACAATGTCACTGTCAGTTATTGAACCTTTCGGTGATGTACCGCCCATGCTAACCATCTGTAGCAAAGCTCTTCTTCTTCCGCGCGTCGTTCCTGTCACCGGCTTTGGTATTTCTGCTTTCTTTTCTTCTGTTATCTTGAAGCTTTTGATGGGGCTTTTAGAAGTTATAAGCCCACACCTCCCCTGGAAGTCCGGTTCACTTTCTCCTTTGGCCGAGTGGGCCTTGATTTTGCTAGCAAGTGGGCTTTTAGATTGGGCTGTTTCTTGGACAACTTCTTCGTCTAGTGATTGAATTCTGCTGACTCTGGTGTGGCTCCCCTTTACACGCTCCTCTCTCTGTTTTCCTTGAATGTGATTAGACAGAAAGTCCTCAATTTCTTTGCTTTCCTCAAGAAATGTCTTTGAGACACACAATTTGTCAGGATAATTAATGCCATTGACATTTCTGCAAGGTGTTTGAATTTCCTCTTCCTCTTGACCGTTTAAAAAGTTGCCGTCAAGCTCGCCGGAATCATCACCGAAATTGAAAGCCGTTGAGCTTACTTCTGAATCAACACTGGAATTATCAATCTTATTCAGCCACCAAGGATCAGATCTCCAATTTTCCTCCACAAGAGTAATGTTGTAGCTATAGTTCTTCACTTTGAGCAAGAATTCTTCATTAATCCCTGTTTTGGATTTAGTAGAGACTAAAATTCTCGCTACGTCCAGACACTCT